TCATTCCCATGCCTAACATACCATCATCATATCATAGATCAAATCATCAAAAGAAAACTTTACTGTCGTTTAACAATCTATCGACGCGCACCACGCACAAGCCAGTTCATTACTACAAACATATAAACAACATCAAACCGACACCTCCTCATAACATTACTACGTTAATCGGTCGAATATTGCTGTGCCAAAGCTCTATCGTTAACATCATTTATATTGATTGATACAGCGGTTCTCGGCCATAAAATCAATTGCAAACGATATCGCATAACACTGCACCGATGATGCATAACGTTGTAAACACGATTAAACACACGTATAACATTGTAAATCGATGGTAAAACGAAGTTAAAACAGCCGTCATGCACGTCACAACCGTTATAATATCGATGCATAACAAATATAAACATTGATGAGCGCGATCGATATGTCAACATGACAGTTAACATATGTAAACGATGATACGTCGAAGCCGTAAACATGACGTAGCGTAATTCAGTAAACATGACAGGGCCCAGTTGCAAAACACGACATATTAGCAATATGTTAAAACCGTTAACATCTCGATTTTATCGCATGACACCGCCCGTCGCGTTCGTCCGCGAAGATAGAAGTTGACAATTCAGGCGCGACCGCAAGTGAATTGTCGAACACGACTGGCAATCAGTCGACAGTACGTTCAAGTAAACTACGGCTTTAACGTCAATAACGCTTTATGTCGGCAAAGCTCGATATTAATGCAGTCAGCTCATCATCAACATACAGGTGGTGCCGACTCGAATACAACCAAGATGTAACATACCGTCGGGAATCAGCAAACGATGGATCGCGTCTTCGGTCCATCTTTTGCATTGCACAAACACGACGACAGCATATCGATACCATCCATTCGCAATTCAGCAATACAGGTCCATCAGCCGCATCATGACGAATACCAATTGATCGACGAGACTGTATATCGTCCATTTGGAGTCGTCTTCATGACAAGCTTGGTTAGCGCAGACCATAATGATCCTTGTCAGCAACCGGCTAACATGATAGTTTGTAGCATGCGCGATTCTCGAGAATATCGAGGCTGGTCGCTTCAGTCAAATGACTAGTCGTGACAGTTCGAAACTGCATAACCGCATAGATAAGTGTTCAGTCCAGACCATTTCATAAGCCGAAAGACGATGATCATCAAGAAGTCCGTTAGTCAGTATAATAACACGTTCACTACCACCAATATGATTAATCCACGACACCCGTAGTAAGTCATTCTGATGATGACTCAACATACTTCGACTGCATGCAAGAGGGTGATGCAATAACGCAAGCCATAATCAATAAAACATGCAGCGTTACAGAACATGCATAATCAAAATCATGCAGGTCACCGAAAATTTTCAGTACCGCGTTAACGCCCGACACCGAACCATGCAGGTTTTCATCGAAATTCTCAGCAATTACACATACCCCGATACTTAAGAAACAAAATTACATTGCGCCCATTCAAATCATTTCCGAATCACTGTCGCCATTACCGTCGCCGGGTGATTGCGATACCCGTTGGCTATGCTAACGATGTTGGTGATCGTTGCCGAGTACCAGTCGACAACACAATTACAATTATTTGACGAAAGCTACGGTCTTCACGACACCAAACAATGTTGAGCCGACCCTCTTCAAAGAACTCGTGCCTGACAGCGAAGCAATAGAGCCGTTGCCGCAAGTGCCACCTAAATATCAACTCCAGGTTGACGATGCAAACTTTTCACTTATCCTCAGTTCATGGCGTACAAGATCATCCGACTTAAGCCTGCGTACCAAAGCGCAGCAGACATTCTTCAAAAGTGAATACGATCTGAACTACGTCTGGTAATATTTAAGCCGAAAATTTATGTCAGCACGGGCGATAAGGTTTCGAAAATCAGTCATTCCCTCAAAGTCAAGCGTTCCCGAGGCAAAGTGATGCCATCGTTGATTGCGACACGACGGGGCCAGGCGATTGACTGCGGGGATCAAAGTTCACGCACCATACCGAAGCCGATTCTCGCGCCGTCGATGTCGCACCGGAACATCGGTCCAGTTTCGTCGACCGACATCCCGAAACACCGGCCGAAGAGCAAACAACACCAGACGTCATCGTCCAACCGGGTCATTCAGCCGTAAGACTCAGGAAAGAGCGTAAACAAGCTCAAATGAACAGGCAGGGCGTATGGTAGGAGCATGCAAAGCCACACTCAAGTTGGAGATAATGTAGTTGCGTATTCTCAATGTGCCGATAGAGGCAGCATTTATTCCCCGAATATCATAGGCTTTTGTGATTGATCGCAGACAGCGGTATCACGTCAGTTTACGAAAATACCCACAAATTCCGCAACAGAAATGATTAACCGGGCTTGTTCGAATCATCTCCTATAACATAAAATAGAAAACAGTGAAAACAGCGTCGTTCGACTGTCATAGGTCATTCGCTTCTCAAAGCCCAGAGCCGAATGCAAACTTCGGCTCCATCAAAGTCATGTTATACACAAACAAACTTCAGATTACAGACTTTCGAGAAATACATGGTTTAATAGGATAATCATCATAATAGCCTCTATTTAAACATGAAAATCGTAACGGACGTTCATTACGTATATGTTAATGATATGCCGAACATTTCATTTTTCACTAACCATTTTGATGAAGAAGACAGATGATTCGAGGTATCAGCCAATAGTCATTCCAAATAATGAAATAGAATGAACGATCGTTTGAGAACATCGACATTATCAGCGCCGCGATAGCATCCTTTTCTTTTCATCTCAATTCGTCATTAAAGCGATGTCAGCACAACGTCACCGAAATTTGATCACCTTCGGTGGAAGTTTCACGAGATAACTTCAGTGCGACGCTTTTAAGAACGTCGTCTCATAATTCATCAGATGCACCTTTGATGTCATCGCCTGATCGTGTTTGAACTTCAGGTATGCCAGTACAAAGCTGTTGAATACTGTCAGGGGAAGTTGCCAGGGTTATCGAGTCACTTTCAGACACAGCAGCCGTTCGTCGCATCGTTTCCAGCTTCCGTAAACTTTCGATGAAGCGACCTGTTCTAACCGTTAAAGATGCTAAAGCAGCCGCGAGAGCGCAGTCTGTCCAGCATGAACATGGTGATCTATGGATTATTACGAAGAGGCGAGTATTCAAAAGTCTATTGCCGACATGTCGTCATTGTTTGCAGCAAAGCGTCATACCAAATAATCAAATCAGCGGTTGCACAGATGATTTATCTTCTCGTAAGAACACACATCCTCAAGATCTTCAACTTTCAAATCAGGTCATCGTTATCCGCCGTTCTATTGTTAGCTGGGGAGGATTTCCACCACATCTTTGCCGATTGAACAGCCGCTTCATGCGGAACGATGAAAACAAATGGAGCTGGTTCGAATGTCGCTAATGCCATGAGTGATTCATTGAAGAAGTTGAAAACAGAAAACTCTGAACTGATTAATAAGTATCCGTTCATCGCAAGACAGAGAAGACAGCATCGTCATGAAATTTCATTTTCATGACAGAGTTCTTCGTAGGTTCGACTCAGAAACACTGCAATGGAGTTAAACAATAGTGAAACTGTGAATGCAGATGATGCCGTTGTGTTGAAGCCTATTTATGACAGTTACCATTATGATTAAAGGATCAAGCTGCACAAATGAATGAGAAACTCAGCGATAATCATTGAAGATGAAGAAATTTGCAACATACAATTCAGTTTTATTAAAGCTCTCAGATACGTCAATATCATTATTCAAATTTTTCAAAAGTTTGAACTAGTAAAGACTGTTGATTCTCGCAAATTCTGCCCTGGTTTCGCTCATATCAATATTGATGATGGTATTTCGATGTCGTATGTTCTTTTCAATGGTACTTTGCTCATACTCTACCCGCCACTTATATATAATACGCCGACTTATGCATCAATGCACGCAACATATGTCGTTATCACCATGACAAGATGTCGTTAAAAGCTGAATGGATACCCGGATCCATTCTTTCCCACAGAGGTTACTTTGTCATCTTCCTACATGAACCTCTGTTCTAATACGGCCATATTTCCCGGTTCGCGTAAAATCCCCTAGCGGCAAAAAGATCGCAACACGAATTAATCTCCCCTTCTTCTATCCAATCAGAAACGTGTTACATCGGGACTTAGGATTCAACTTGACTAACACAAGCAAATGTGAGGCCACAAATATCCCCCATCTGCCGGGGACTTGTGCTGATGTTACACACAAGACGCCATTAATGGCTAGCTTGTCCGTTGTCAACGAGGGCGATGGAGACGCCACCGGATCCGCCATAACATGACTTCGAGTCTCTGTCTAGAAGAAACGTTTGCGCATCGCGCAGGAAGAGGTTTAAGCTTTCTGAAGCATACGGAAATTACCGAGAGGCCCTTTGCGAATGATCACTTTTGGAAACAACGTCGTTGATTGCATTAACCAAATCTGATTGCCTCCAATCACGAGTCTTGAACGCTCACACCATGAAAGGCCGTATTAGAAACAGAGGCTGCTGCAGGAAGATATGACAGGAGTAACCCTCTGTGGGAAGAGAATGTGATAATTCCAGTTCATGGACAAAGCAATAAACACAAATTAGACGGACTGCGGACTTAAATTTGCTAAATTTGGATGAGAGCATGATCTACAACGTTGAAAGAGTCATTCAACGTTCAGAACAAACAGATCATCACGATGATGCCCTATCTGGTGAACTCTGGAATGATGACACAAACGGGCTTCACCGGCATTGATGTTGCGATAGCTTCAAGCATAATCGCAGCACACACATACATGTGGACGTCCGGCCTTTCATTTTCGAATGTTTTAAAAAAGAACAAATTTTGATGAGAGATCAATCCCATTAAACCACATATTTCGAAAAGCCTGTAATTCGAGCTTAATTCCGATATACAATACGACACAACTGGGACACAAAAAGCTCTGCATTCCATCCAAGATTCGAAAGCGAAGATGACCTACGACCTTGGAGGGTCGAATTTGACCTGTTCCACCACCGATATTCCTCAGACCCCGACATACAGGAATGCCTGCAGTCTTCAAACCAGCTGGCTGCAATCTGTGTTAGGTCAGCCTGTTAGATTTGACCGACTATAGGTGCGGTGTGTCTCATGGAAAGGGCCATAATCACTGATATTACGAGATTGGGATGCAGATGATAACACGGAGAAAATGCTGGCAGTTAAAACATCAACACTTCTATTGCAGTGGACAAGCGTTCACTAATGCACTGCTGAAACAAAGCGTTGTTCAGATCATAGCGGCAAGGCAAAGATTCAATGTGTTTCCAAATTTCATGTTCAAATAAAACATAACACACGAAATAAAATTATTGGGAATACCGTGTTGACCTTAAAATTTATGAGTCCAGATTGACTTCAAGAGTAATATCAATATTTCAGTATTCAAATGATTTAAGTAGTCATGTAGCACTTGTTTCAATACGATTGAAATTACAACATACATAATTCGTACTTTCGTGCACCATAATATTGGTTTACGATTGCACAGTTTCGTAACATGCCATAGTCTGCATTTGCCAGAATACATGGCGATGCCGGCTTGGCGTTGAATACCAGTTCTATAGTCGACGTTTAATTGCAAGTTCACATTGTCACATAATTCATTTGTCTGTGTAGACAATATGTAATGGATGACGGTGGTTATTGAGAATTTATAGCGTATGTGTCAAGTGGTCGGTTAGTTGTTTGGCCACCTTCAGGCTTATATTATCACGCAGCCTGAGCTACGTCATCATAAATACACAGATATACCGTTGCTCAGATACGTTTACAACATAACTAAGAAGAACTAAAACCTTGCGTTTAAGTTAAGCGAACGTCATACTAAATCCTCATATTGGCGTCTTTAAAATGACCATTCACCATACCAGTCAAACGTAAAACTGAACAGCCTCACGAGCAGCCTACGTATTAAATGAGCGCATGCAATAGTGTTCGTTTTATTCGACTCACGCTTCAATCAGTAACACGACGTTAAGGTTGCCCTGAAAGAATAAAAGTAAATCAGAAATAGTTAGATCAGATAGAGAACTTCGACAATGAAGTCACTGAATATTGAAGCCATTTCGAATTTAACAATAATGCCCGTAGTCAATAGAAAATTCCAGAATTATATCGAGTCATTTTCATACTACGCGTCGGTTCATGGTTCTCGTTTTTCGCAATCTCCGAAAGAAGCTAAATGTCGTATTGGTACACCGTATGCCCATTTGAACCTTTCGACGTGATATTCGTGGGTTCATTAGCCGAGTTGCCATTTAGTCAGCCGCGTTTGCAGCCAGGAGCAATTTCGCCCGTTACGTAAGTAAGCCGCATATTGCGTCCTCAGACATGACTCGGCACTGCTTCAACCATATACTCGATAACATTACAGACGCAATTGTCTTCACAAACAGCATCATCACTACGTCATGATAAGTGTCAGTTTACCGAGTTGTGGGCACGTTTTTGCAATGTGGATGATTTCAGTTTGTTGTGACAATCTCTATTCGGAAATATTAACACGAGAATAGTTACTTTGCTGGTAAATACATTGTCAAAGTTGTTCTTCCATTGTATTATAGAAAGAAAGCTCTGCTTCAAAACAGTTCACCAGTTTTGGCTCTTTGGTCAACAGATTTATAAGTGAATTGAACATGCGGTACTATTAAATAATACCGCACGCACTGTCAGCTACATGAGATGCAGAATATCTAACAACTGAATTACCAACACACACCAAAGATTAACAACAACGCGAACAATCGGGTCTAGTTCAGTAGAATTTTATTTTAACAACTCGATAACGCCATCAGAGTGAAATACTTTATGTCACAAAAATGACATAGGTTCCAGCCGTTTCAAGATACGTATCGAGCGTGACATCAGCCGACTTTGTCGAGCGATGTATTGCGAAACGTATTAGCCGATGGCATGCAGCACCGTACGTCTTCGTCGATGTACCAACAAGCCGAGGTAATATCATGAAAAGCAAAAATGAAACAGAGAAGTATTACTCGCTACTGGCGATATACGACGTCCTTTATGGTTTCGCCAGCTGGCATGATCCAAAACATATGCTGTTCATTATGATGTGGTTCGATGGGAAGTTCGTGTTATTTGGTCAAGTTTATACCACAGCTTTCTGGGCTGTTGAAAGTAGTCATTGCGCCGGTCATGTCTCATTACATTGATGGGGAAGCGGACATTCAGTTACTCGAGTTGCCAGTTGAAACCCCGATCATGGTCATTTTCGATGGCTTCATCATCAATACCAGTTTTTCCTCCTCAATAAAACACAGCGACATCAACTGAAATACAAAGCTCGGTGTTCCATGTCGAAGCCTGAGCAATAGTGACAGCATCGCCAGTTTCCGCAAGCGTCGAATCGTTATCAGATTCTACGTTTGACCGAAGGATCTTCATTGGTTTCGATGTCTCAGCTCGATGGAGTTCATATCGGTATTGAATGTACCAGACCGTTAAGTCTTTTCGATGGTAGCGTCGTCGATGAAAGAAAGTCGACCCTTTCATACCGTCCGTCATCTGCTGACGAATAGTCGTCTACGAACTCGGTTCTTCCGGTCTTCCTGTGTTCGATTTAAGCTCCGTATCGATTTCGTGGTAAATATCAATAGCAAGGATGTTGCGATATATTGGTCATCAGCATATGTCTGCAACGACAATGTTTTGTTTGTCCGAATGAAACTGTAAACCGCGACAATCTAATATAGCGTCTCAATGTGCCTTCAGTTCGCAGTCAGCGCAATCGTAGCTTTTGGTACTGTGAATCACGACTTCATGTACGCAAATGCTGCCGTGCTTAATCGCGTACATTTCGAATTTATCAATGATTGTGCACACCGCATAAAGCATCATCATCATACCATTTAACCGTTGTCAACAACATCAACATGTTCATCTTCCTTAACTACAGTTATCATCTCCTCTCAATTCACAGTTAAACAACACTATTCACCGAGCAATTTCCCAACTGTTAAGTCAACATTCATCATGCTCTCATTCTGAATGGATCGAATATACCAATCTTCCATAACTATTGTCAACATTCACCGCTACCTCATCTTCCGCACCATAGTTAAACATCATTCAATATGTTCTCATCTCTCAATCTAGTTAACAACACCGACTACCATATTCATCTTCCTAATCATAAAGTTGTGTCGGTCATCATTCATCATACCGTCTTCATAACTATAGTTGTCAACAATATTCACTTCATCTTCCTTAACTATTAAAGCCGTCAATACCATTCAACTATAGTTACCACCAATTACCATATTCATCTCTAACTGGCTAGTTAACAATATTCGTCATTCTCATCTTCCGAAGAAGCCAGTCAACACCATTCATCAATTTAAGCAAAGCCAAGTCAATTCATCATCATCATACCGTCTCCTTAACCAAGCCGTTAACTACAAAGCTGTCAACGACCATTCATCATGCCTCATCTCAATACAAAGTTGTCAACACCACTATCATACCGTCTTCCCACCCGCCAGTTGTCAACACTATCTTCCTTAATCATAGTTGTCACCATTCAACATACCATGGGTCCGAAGCCGTTGATCAATATCTACCACTAATTCCATAATCACAGTTAACAACACACTCATCATACCATCTCCAACTATAGTTGTCATCATTCATCATACCCTCATCTTCAACTGGCCAATGTCTGCTCATTCATCATACCGAGCAAAGAACGACAAACATACTGGCGTCAATAGCATTTTATTATTCTGTTACGACATATACCAGACAACAATATACCAGTAAATAACAACGAAAATGCTGTCGTAGATTTATAAAATGGTTTTTAAGACAAATCGTAAAACATACTCTAAATCCGTTACAAAATGTACAGATATCATAAACATAAAAGTTCGTCAAACATGTTTTCTGAAACAATATCGGGTCAATACGGCATACAGCTTCAATACCGTCATCATTATTACCAGAGCCGCTCAGAGCCAAGGGTATTATTGTCATAGCGATTTAGTCTTCGCCACAACATTTTACCGAACAGAAAGGGCCTTACCAGTCCACTTCGCTCAAGGTGAATCACCGCTGTAAGGTGACAGAAACTTCAGTTAAATGCGTCGTTCATCCAAAGAATCATCGCCAACAGATTAGACTAAGCCAGCAATATCAACAACGCTATCTCTGAAGGGTCGCATGTTATCGCCTGATATTATCCACCTGTTCATACCAGCCTTCAATATGCAACCGAAGCCGTCTTCCAACATCTTCTTTCCGATGATTACTGATTCGTTACCGACATTTTCTAAGTATGCTGTTGCAGAGCTGGGGACCATTCACTTAGCCAGTTTCGACAGTCATCGCATTACAGCCAGCCATCGTTGTGACTTAGACAGATCAGTACCAGCTCAATGTCGGCCCCATAAACATCAACTCCAGCTCTTTGTCGTTATAAAACGACAAACAATTTCTTTTGTTTACTCAAGATAATGTATAATCAATATCATCATCATTTCTGAAAACATGTCATTACCGTAAGATGAACAGACAGCAATTGAAAGATACCGGTTGTACCAGAGTTCGAAAGTCACAGGACCTTAAGTATAACATACCGGCTTCAATAACCGTCAGTTCCTCGCTATTCATTGACGCATCATACCAGCGAATGGTAACCATTCAAAATCAGCTGTTATCACCTTCTTCCTCAGCCCATTTTCAAAATCGTATTCAATAAAGTCAGTTGAACATGCCTAACTGAAGTCGTCGTAGACCGTACGAAAGCAGCCAGCGAAGGTTGTGCCAGTACGACTGGCGTAAAATCCCTGAAAACGGCAACGAACATTGTTCTTCATACCGGTAAGCACTGGGTGCGATATGACGCAAATGCCATAAACAGATAAACGATGAAATGCCAGCTGCAGCATTGAGAGTTGGCAGTTCACCGTTAGTATAAAAGCCGTACATGCCTTTAGTTCAAACAAATAATGATTTGAAGATCAATAACGGCCATAATGTTCAGTGATCAAGACGTTCTCGAGCCGCATTCTTTAACAGATGTAAATAT